GAAAAATAAGATTAAACAGTTCCTAAGTAATTATTCTGTTCTAAGCAGTAAGCCCAAAGTTTGAGGCCACAGTAGAAAAAAACACCAGGCAACATAAATTTAGGTTATTCTGGATTAACTAGAAACATTTAACTCCTCCCTTGTTGAAAACACTGGGAATCTTTACTCTGTGAGCTTGCTCGTGCACATCCACGAGTTCCTCAATGCTTTTGGCTTGGTGTCACGGTGTTCCTCCTGCTCTGCTCAAGGACTTCCAAGGTTTTCTTCAATGCTCACTTAGTTGTTCATTGTGATCCTGTCCTTGACTTGAGGAATATGTATGGTTCTTAAAACACAGTTCAAAATTCAAGTGGCTTTTTCCCATGAACAGGGTGGCAGCTCTGCAAATAAGATACAATTTCCCATTGGAGCAAGGAGAGGAGTTGTGGAGGGAAGAAAGGGGGTTCCCACAAGGCCTGAGGCTGGCTAAGCTCTAGGCATGTGTGTTCACTATGAGGAGAAGCCTAGTCAGTGAGGGATCAGGACCTAGGTAATGCCAACTACAGATTTCCTTAAGTCCATGGTCTTTTCAGGAAAGTATGGGAATCCAGTGGGGGAAAAATTCTCAATGTTGTCATTATTCCTAGCATTTATCAATGTATTTTATTTATAGTTTATGTCTTCTTTGGATTGAAAATTTCACATTATGAACTTTGCCCTCATCCCTTCCCCTTGATTTCTTCTCTCATAACCTGACCAAAATCTTAGTTTTCTCTTCAATCTTGAAAACATTTTGTAATTGACAGTGCCCTAAAACATGTTTCTAGACACTAGTGCATTGCTCCATTTCACATTCTTGCCCTATGTAAGGGTCAATATTTGCCTTGCATGCTGTACAACACTTTGGTTCCCTAATGCCTCTTGAGAAATTTATTTTTTAATTGACTTTAGGCATGAGAAGTAACCTTTAAAACCAAGAAATGGTACCTATACCAGATATCTGCAGGAAGGATCCATCTAACTGCACAGTGATGGTAAGTTTCTTGGGTTGAACCCTGGTTCCCTACATTAGAGGCCTGGGAATGGGATGATTACTAGTAAAGCACAATAACGGGACTATAATTTGTGTTGGGAGTAAGTGCCATCACAGCAGAAAGTTTTGCATAATTTTAATTTAGGAAGGATATTGACCTGAGCTCAGAGCTATAACCTGAGTTCTTATAAAAGGACAATTGTATAAACATGGCTCAAATACCTAGTCTATGAAACACAATGAAGTTACAAAATTAACCAACTGTACAGTTGAGGTGTTATAAAGAGGAAATCTCTGGGCTGGTCCAGTGGCACAACAGTGAAGTTCACACGTTCCACTTCAGTGGCCCAGGCTTCACGAGTTTGGATCCCCAGTGCAGACATGAGACCACTTGGCAGGCCATTCTATGGCAGACGTCCCACATATAAAGTAGAGGAAGATGGACACACATGTTAGCTCAAGGCCAGTCTTCCTTAGCAAAAAGAGGATTGGCAGCAGATGTTAGCTCAGGGCTAATCTTCCTCAAAAAAAAAAAAAAAAGAAGAAGAAATCTCAATGCATGCAAGAGAATAACGCACCGTGCATATGTAACTTACATGGGGAAGGTTTTTAACCAGGAACTATGACTGACTGATTAGCCTAGAATTCATACATAGAGAGAAGAACGAATGAACGTCTGTGGGCAGTCTTTTAAGTGCCTCTTAGCTCCTCCAATAAGCAGGATTCTCACATTGGGGAAGAAAACATTGAACAGAACTAGTGTGAGATGTTTTCACTCACAGGTTCACAGTGACTTAACATATGTGAAGTCACATGGGCCCAGGAGGCCCACCTCTATAAGCTGTTGGACCAATTGAGGCAGCAAAGCCATGAGGAAACACTGACGTTTCACCTGGAAAATACCCAAGATATTCTCCAGAACATGAAATACTGGTAGGCAGACCAGATTCAAAAAGACAGAAGGGGATGGCCTGACATCCATAATTAATGTCAGATGAAGCCTGCTTAGGAGCCCAGTTTTGTGCCCAGGAAGTTCAAGATGAAAATCTTGCCTCTACCTTTGGAGAATGTTGTGGACTTTGCTGCTCTGTTCTCAGCCAACTCAGGAGGTTCCAGGGAGAATTTTGATCTGAATAGCTTATGGAGGGAGGTTTCAAGGTCATGTAATTTAAACAAGTGCAGTCAAAGAGATGGCTGTAAGTGAGGAAAGCAGGGCTCCTGGAGTGGTGAGAGTCACTAGGACAGAAGGGAGAGATGGGGGGCTGGGGAGGGTGTGGGTACACCAACGATGCACTCCTCGGGTCCCCAAGATGCGAGATGTCTGGGAAGCAGCTGCCTCCATGGCCTTTACCACTGCAGCCAACGCCAGTGCCGTTTCCCCAACCACCAAGAACACCACCACAGTAGGCTGGACAGGGAAGTAAGAAGTAGGTTCCAAATTCACCACTGTGGTCTCAAATCTGGACCTGGGAATGTTGGGATTGGGTCTGATAGGAGTCGTTGGGCAAGAGGAATTACCCTGAGGCAGGGGCATGAAGATCCCTGAGCTCCTCTCCAAGTGTCATTTGTTGTATTTGCCTCTGTTGAGCTGAGGTGGATCCCTGCCCCCAGAGGTGACCAGAGTCAGCCCAATCCACATGCCACACCACAGGGGGCGCCACCCCACCCAATGCATCCCAGGAGGCTGTGGAACACCACCCCCACTGCTGGTGCCCTTGCACCGGCTGCTGCCAAGTTCATCATCCTCCCTCGGGAGCCCAGCCTGGGCTGGGGGGGCCCAACTGTGGAAGGGCTGAGACACAGTTTGGGCACACTAGCTGCATGGCAGCCTCCTGCTCCAACCAGGCTGATGACAACTGCCAGGGTACTTTCAGGTCTCAGGGCCCTTTTCCCCATCCTAGACCCCAGACAGAGACTCATCCCAGGAAGCTGGAATGGCTGGCCTCCTTCAGACAAAGCAGACTCCTCCAGAGGATACACCTCTCCCTGTGCCCTGCCACAGTGCACCCAGGGAGATGGCCAGGGGAAGGCCTGCCTTGGACCTTAGTCATGGATTTCTCTCAAGAGTGGAGCTCTGGGCAGCAGGAGGGCATGGCTTTAGTGACTCCAGAGTGAAGGGAGGTGCCTGCCCCTGGAAGGGCAGGCCTGCCAATTTCCCCACTATTTCCACAGGGGCGTGGCATGCCTAGTGTGGCCAAACTCCTTTGGCTAGCATTCTGAGCCCTGTTGACTTGTCAAACATTTACTGCTCCCTGTGTTGAAAAGTTCCTTCCTGATGCGAGGCCTTGTTCTGTCAAACAATAAACGAGGCCCCGGATGATCAGCATGCAGGAGGGATAGCCTTGCCCTGCCCCCTGGCTCCTGATGGGCAAAGAGGGGCAGAAAGCTATTTTCAAAGGATGGGAGTGGGACCTGAGCAGAAGGGGAGAAGGGGATGTGAGACACAGTTGTAGAAGTTGGGAATCCCAGTTCACCAGCAGCTGCACCCGGCCACCACCAGTGGGCTCCCCCACAATTTCAGTGGCACAAGGACCTGTCCCTCAGCAAGCCCAAGGGCCTTTCTGAGGCCATTGTCAGTCAATTGGGGAGGGGCGGGTGCACCCACCATCTTCTCTTCATTTCCCTGAGATCCTAGATCTGGTGAGAGTCACTTGAGGTTTCCATGAAATTAGTGGAGTTCTCACTGTGTTGTAGGGGGTCTTGTTGAGGTAATGGCTGCCCTCTGTGATATCAGGTCTCGGTGAGGTCAGAGGGGGGTCTCTATAATGTCACTAGAGGTTTCTTGGACGTCATGGGAGTTCTTTGTGTGTTCAGGGAGTTCTCTGTGAAATCAGGAGACCTCACTTTGAGGGAAGAGGGGTTCACTATGAGGTCAGTGGAGGTCTGTGAGTGGTCAGACAAGTCACTGTGTGGGCATGGGATGTCTCTGTGTGGTCAAGGGGAGTGTCTAAAGTGTCAGGGGATGACTCTGTTAGGTCAGCTGAGATCTCTGTCTGTCAGTGAGGACAGAAGGGGCCTCTATGAGGTCAGAGGTGGTCTCTGTGAGGTCACGGTGTTACCAAAATCAAAGTGGTTTGAATGCTTGCGAGTTAAGTTGGCATGAGCACACTAAAGCTATTTGGGGACATAAACCTTCCCTCGTTGGTTTGTCTTCCAGCCGTTGACTATTGGGGACAACTGAGAATGCTGTGTAGTAGCTTCCCTCACTTCATCTGTAGTAAATTCACAGAAGGTGTCAGTTCACATGAGGGCAGTGTGGAAATTAATGGTAACTAGAAAAGCTCTCCTGATGGAGGGGCCATTTTTGGAGCTACAGCTGCCACGTTATGTCCTTTGAAGGGCTTTACCATAGATCCCAGCTACTTTATTGGGGACCTGTACCACTTCTAACAGTTTAAGAATCTCTGGCCCATGTTTAACGTCCATGATTCACTCTGGAGACCTCTGTGGCTGGAGGTCACTTCTGGGCAACCATGGCTTAAAGACCCGTTGGAATCAAGGAAAAGGGCAGCAGAGTTTAAGGTATGACAGGATATTAAAGAAATCTGAAGGGAATCTGGCATCATTTCTTGATACTGAAGTATTCTATTTTGTGATAGCCAGAAGCCTCATCAGTCACTGGCAGACTAAAGAATTGATGTAGGAGTCCAAAACCTCATAGATACGTCCATAGCCAATTTTTTTGCTTTCTTGATTAACAAGCAGATGGCAGCTACTGCTCTGAAGCTTGGGGGCTAAACTTTAACCACGGAGGGCAGCTTGCCCCATTAAAAAGCGTCCGTTTATGGACGCCATAGTTTATCAGAGAGGCCGATAGCCATGAATCCAATGAAAAGAATCCAAAGAAGAAAAAACAGAGCCATCCATTTAGACACACCATATCCCTTACTGGTCAGGAAGATGAACATACTTAGCTCACATCTGACTATATACTGCTGGGGATAGAATCACACCCCGCAGGACTACCCTTCTCCCCACCCCCATTTTCCATGCCAATTGCAAGTTCGGGTCGTGACCTGTGCTCCTGACAAAGCGGCCGCGAGACCGCCCGTTCCCACCCGCCTCCCCTCCTTGGGTTCGAGGGCTCTGATAGAGCGGCTCACACAACTCGGGAGAACCTCTCCCTTCTGAACAGCCACAGGGAAGAGGCGCATAGAGCAAAACATGTGTGGCGGGGAGGAGGAGCTCCCGGGGCCTCTCTGGGGGTGCCGCTCTCCCCGAACCTCCACGTGTTCGCCAGCGCGGCAGCTGTCTGAGCGCCGTCCTTTCGCAGTCTGACGGAGACTCCATCGCCTGGGCATAGTCGATTACGGTCATTGGCCGTTGGCTGCTCAGCGCGACCTTCAGCCCCTCTTGCCCCCGCCCCCGCCCCAGGGCTGGGGGCGGGGACGGGGACGGGCCTGAAACTGCCAAGGCCCGAATCGAATCGCACAGTTGGTTTCCCCGGCACCCAGCCCCCACCCTTAGGGCTTCTCCAACACTCGCCTCGTTAACACCAGTTCAGGTGGCGTTGAAAGGGGCTTGTTAGGAATAACACCAGACAAACCGCTTCGCCTTTCTGGCTCTGGACTCGTTTCAGGAACTGAGCCCTAAAGTGATTCTCCTAACCAGAGATGCGCCATGTGGCTCTCGTAGGGGCAATCACAGCACCTTGAGGCGCTCGGTGCCAGAAACCAAGGGAAGACATTTACTGTTATAGCGCCAGGAGCGCACAGCATTGAGAGCACTAAGGTCTCGAGCAAAGCTAGAGTCCCCTGCTCTGAAAACTTCCTGATTCCGGGAAAGCTTCCTCTTTCTGGCTTCTGGCTTCAAGGGGCGTATGTTTTACCCGGGGCCGGCCCCCTACCTGCTTCCGTTTTACCTTTCCTGGCGTGGCACCGGCTGCTCACTCCACCTGTCCTTGGGCCCATAGTTCCGAGTTAGCCCTGCTTGAATCATGTAGGGGAGTCTCTCGCTTCTCAGGGGCTGCTGTATCCTGCAAGAGGGCCATCAGCTCACCTCCCCCACTTCTTGGCGCTTGGAGCTCGGTTTTCTCCTGTTCCCGGCCTGTGGAGGCCCCTAACTCACAGAGCACGTCCCTCCCTAGAAGGCGGTGGGGAACGGGGCATTCTGGTACATGCGGCGAGGAATCCTTCAGCAGTTTGGACCCTGTTTCACAGGTCCAGGGCTCCAGAAAGCTTCCGGTCTCTCCCATTCCTGAGACCTCCTTCAGTTCACACTTTCCTTCGGAAAGGTTTCCCTTGTGGGCATTCCACACCAAGAACACGGCTCCACTAGGGAGCAAAGATTCAGCCTGCTCCCCTCCTCCCTGCCGAGGTCACCGGGGCCTCCCGGAGCCAACCGGGGGAGGGGGCTGTCCCTCAGCCCCATCACGTCTCATCTGTGGTCAAGGGAAACTGCCACGGCTCGGGCTTCTTCGATCCCTTCCCTCCCTGGGGACGGTTCGGACAATCCTGCCACCAACGCCCTTGCTCTTGGCAGTCCGCCCACCGATTAGCCCCCGACATTGCGGGTGGCCTCCTGGCCCCTCGGTGGGGGCCGGGGTTACTCACCCATGGCATATGCCCCCTCTCCCTCAGGATACCTTGAGGAGACTGGCGGGCCACAGCGAGCAGGGCGGCCTGCCTTTTCATCATCCTGTCTTCCTTTGCATCCTCAGCTTCAAGCCGGTTATGGAGCACCCTCCGTGCAGCCACTCGGAGCTGTGCAGGACTGGTAGCAGGACCGATCGGCAACTTTGGGAGTTTCCCACGGGTGTCTGGAGCACTTCTGAGGTCTGAAACACGGATTCGGGATCACTGTACTGCCCCGGGCCTCCAGGTCCCAGTTTGTGTATCGCCTGAGGCAGTCCTGCGGCCTCTGGAACAAAGTGCGTGGGTGTGGCCAGGCGGGTGGGGTGGGATTGGGGGGCTCGGGGCGGGGAGGGGCGGCTCGGCTTTCCCCAGGGCCCTATTGGACCTGTGCGAATTTAGGCCATTTAATGGGTGGCCGGCTTACTCTTTTCATGGCTTTCAGAAGCAGACCCCGAAAATATCCTCCCTTTCCTCCATCCCCAGGATCATTGGGATTCCACCCTGCCTCGCTCTCTGGCACAGCCTGTCCACCAGGCCTGCGGATGTCCGATCCTGGGTCATCTGCCTTACCCGCTTGTTCCCTGGCTTCGAACGCAACGGAAGACTTTGCCTGAGTCATGCTAACCTTCTGCTCCAGATGCCCACAATTCGTATGGTGCGAGAATTCATATGGAGTAAGTATAATAATATTGCTAATAAAGTTATTTTTATTATTAATAGCTAACAATTATATAGTGCTTCCTATATTCCACGCAGTCTTCTAACTGTTTTCTAAATTTTAGCTCTTTGAATCCTTTCAAACCCCCATGAGGTAGGTATTATTTCTTTCACATGAGGAAGCTGAGGCTCCAGAGAGAGGCTAAAACCAATATGTAACTGATAAATGAATTCATCGATAAGGCTCAGTCAAATGCATGCTCTCTGTCTTCGGAGTCTTGGCTCTTGATACTCTATACCTGTGCTCCTGCTATTCCTATGAAACTCAGAAGCTTGTACGATGGTGGTGAGGCACAGGGGCTTTAGGCAAACTGCTGAGCTCCACAGCTGAATCCACCCTTGGCTTGGTACTGAAAACAGTCCTGGATTTGGGAAGCTCAGTATCTACTTCCCTCTCCTCTAGGACCCAGTAGAGGTGGGGGATGCAGATGCAAATATGGGGAGGCTTTTAAGTTCTACGGGCAGGTTGTATCTAAAGAAGCTCAGGGCCTGCAGGTAACTTCTCCTCTCCAGTTTAGCACCTCTCCTACCCGTTCAGCCCCCGTCCATGCAGACAGGCAGCATGAGCCTGGAATCACACATGCCTAGATGGAAATCCTGGCTCTGAAATGCACTGGCTTTGGGTAACAACTTAGGCTTCATGATCAAGGAGGTAAAATCAGAGGAAGATGGTACTGTTGAATGAGCATCCCAGCAGCTGAGTTAAACGGTAACCAAAGTGACTGCCTGACTCAAGGGCATAAGGCTTTAATGCACACACACTTCACATGTCCCAGGCACAGGCTAGACATTCTACACGGCTCATCCCTTTTCATACTCCCAATAGCCCCAGGAGTTGTGTTGTTCTATACCCACTTCCCAGGTGAATAAACTGAGGTTCAGACACCTTAAGTAAGTTGTACCAAAAATTGGGCTGCTTTGAATCCTTGTCACAATTACGGGCTTAATTGTATCCTCCCAAAATTCATGTGTTGAAGCCCTAACACTTAGCACCTCGGAAGGTGATTGTATTTGGAGACAAGGACTTTAAAGTGGTGATTAAGTTACATGAGGCCATTAAGGTGGAGCCCTAATCCTGTCTGACTGGGGTTCTTGTAAGAGGAGGAAATTTGGAATCACAGGGAGACATCAGGAAGGGGCTCACACAGAGGTTAATAACATGTTAGCACAGTGAAAAAGTGGCCATCCACAGGTCCCCTACTATCAGCACATAATCAGGAAGGGCAAAGAGATTTTCTGGTGCCATTTTGTCCCGAGGCTTTATCTCATATTTGGTAACTCCTAGCAGCTCTGAAAAATAAATGTTATGAATGTGGAAATATCAATGGATCTGGGAATTTGTTGTTGCATTATTGTCATTTCTGGGAGGATCAGAAGATGTCATAGGCATAAGCCTGTCTCTCCTATGAAGGCCTGGAAAGAAATTATAGAAAGTGTAGAAGGCAGGAGCTACTTCTACTATAGCTCAATTCCAGATTCGGGCTATCAGATCTTCATTGGATTATTAATGTTTCTTGACAGTGCTGCTTCATCAACTTTCTCTTCCCTGCCTGGGCCTTCAGCAGCTGATACAGTCATCAGCTGCCTAGCTTGTGGCCCTGCATACCTATGCCTTACCTATTCATATGTCCAAAGTGACATGAAGCTCAGGAGGCCATATTTTTTGATTTATGCTATCATTTTTGAAAAAGTTTTATGAGGTATAAACAAAGCAAACTAGTTAAAAATCCAACACTCACTTTTATTTGAAGAGAATAAGATCATATGCCATTAGAACTCCTCTGGAAAACCCAGGACATATATCTCATAACTTGCTTGATTTTTTTTTTAAGATTTTATTTTTTCCTTTTTCTCCCCAAAGCCCCCCGGTACATAGTTGTATATTCTTAGTTGTGGGTCTTTCCAGTTGTGGCATGTGGGATGCCACCTCAATGTGGCTGGAGGAGCGGCGCCATGTCCGCACCCATGATCCGAACTGATGAACCACTGGGCCACTTGCAGCAGAGCACGCTAACTTAACCACTCAGCCACGGGGCTGGCCCCCTTGCTTGACTTTTGATAGGTAAGAAGGAGATAGAAATTCTTACCAGTGGCTATCTGGTTGCTAGAAACAGAAACTGCCTTTTGTTAACATAAGCAAAAGAAATATCTTTAAAGGCTATGGAATGACATATAAAATTAAGGGAAAATAGAACTTCAGGAAGCACCAGAACCAAAAAATAATGAGAGATACAGGGACAGAGACAGAGAGTGGGGGGGGGAGGGAAAAATGGAGGGAAGGATGGGTGGAGAAAATGATAGCGTTAATTAAACAAGGTGGCCACAGCATAGGCTAAGGGAGGGGATGGGAGATTGACAGTAGTCCGTGATCCCAGAGAAGAATGTATTTATATATAAATGGAGGAAGGATACTGGACAAGCAAGTATAAGTGATTTTCACTAACAAAGCATTCCTAAAGTACTCATAAGCATTACGTGACTCCCTGATTGTCACATGCACAAGTATTGCTCAATGAAATTCCTGCTTGGGGACTTCACCAAATGTCATCTATTTACACTCAACACCCATTTCCATCCCCTTGTACATTCTTTCTTGTGTTGCAGTACTTCCCATATTTGAGAGGGCTAAAAAGAACGTTTCCAAAACTCCCTTGATGCCACGGTTCTAGAATTGATTTAAGTTCCATCAAGGTAATGCAGTTGCATGAGATTTGAAAGGCAGAAGGGGTAGTGAAGGCCAGCAGGGACATTTCGTGTATTTATTTTCCTGCATTAGTAGCAACTCCAGGCCCTGGCAGGCATCAGTTTTTCCAGTGGCCAAAAGGCACTTTGCACTGCCTACTCACCAACCTCATGGTCAGGGGCACGGAGACATCAGCCAGAATTTCCTGCAGTTCCCCCAATCCCTGGACTTCCATCTGCTGGAGCCCTGACCCTGTGCCTGAGTCTAGCAGCAGACACCAAACTCCCATTCTACTAGCCCTTGCAATAATTCCATGGACGTCTAATTTTCCTATAGTAAAGCCCTTTCTAGTGGAGATACTTAAAGTAGTTTCTGTTTCCTGCATGCACCCTGAATGATACAAGTATCAAAAAGCTCCTTCAGTATCAATTTAATTTCCAGCTTTATTGCACATTCTTTCAGTGCAATGATATGGTTCACCCATCTTATGGCTCCTTTCCTTGCACAGATGACAGAGTTTTCTTGAGTAATTGAGCAGAGCTTCCTCTGACTTGCCTACAGGTGAGTTCAGTTATTTTCTTCCTTGAGACCACTCCCATTTCCCAGAACTATTGTTGACTATGCTGCTTAGCTTCAGTGGTTTCCTTGTTGTGTTTCATCTCATTACTCCCAGAAATGTAGACGCCTCACCAGTGAAGAAACACTAGGAGTGATGATTGCCTTGATGGCTGTTGTTTTAGGCCAGTTGGATTATAAAAGGCATACTTCTCCAAATATTATATCATGAAGCATTCTCTGGTGATAGCCCTTTGATAGGTACACTTATAGAAGTTAGAGTTGGTATTATGCATTAGAATTTCAGTCACATAGTCCCTTCGATCTAGGAATCCCAAAGCTAGGGACTTATGTTACTGATATCTCACAAAAAATCCTCTCAGATTTACATATAAGTTTAGTGCAGGAATTTTTTTTTGGTAAGTGTTTTTAAAAATGAAAAAAGCAAAACGATCCTTCAGGGACCATTTAATTGAATTACAGTATATTCAATTGATAAAAGTATTGAGCTGTAAAATAACATGGTTGGCCCAATACAGGAAGATTTCCAAGATGTAATATTAAGTGAAATGATAAGGATGAATTGCACAAAATATTTAGCATTTAGCAAGTTTTAAGTATGACAGGTGAAAAAATATGCATTGGTGTCAACTACACATGAACTGTTCACTAATTCCCCTTGGGATCAAAATACAAGGTTCTGAGAGTTTAGAGTGGTGGGGTGGTATACCATTTTGTGTTTCAGTGGAGAAAGAGAAACATTACCAGGTATTCAAACAGAGGGAATTTACAACAGGGGATTGTGGGTTGGTTATGCCAGGATTGGACGACTGAGAATGAGG